AAAAAAATAAAAAAAAAAAAAAAACATGAGCAATAACAAATAGACCTGGCATATGCTGGCTTGACTTATGTTTAAGTAGACTAGCAATAGTTGGCGTTCAGAGAAGTTTGTTTGCTACTAACGAGTTCATTGAGCAGGAAGTTGGGGAAGATGTGTTCTCTGGTGAGCAGGGGCGCTCCGCACTTGGGACAGCGCCGGTGCAGGTCGAGCGCGCGGCTGATGCACGCGTAGCAGAACGAGTGGCCGCAGCGCGTCACATAGGCCTCGTCGATCAGCTCGAAGCACACCGGGCACAGGAGCTCACAGTCCTGTTGGTCACGTTGGTCACAGCTGAGCTTCAAACTTGCAATCTCTCTATTCTAAATCAAAATCTATATACCTAGTCAGGTCATAAATTCTGTCACATGTTTAATGTAAAATAATTGAAACAAGTTTATTCATTATGTAACCATTCATATACCAAAATGAACATGAAAACAGATTCTTATGACACTAAAGTTTATTCAAAATGACCTCCGTGATTTTGAATACACGCCTTCAATCTGCGCGGCCAGTCGTCTATCGCAGCACGAACGAGGTCCATGTCAATATTGGCGGCTGCCTTAATCAAGGATGTCTTGAGTGACTCCAAATTGGGATGAGGCTTTGAGCACGCCTTTTCCTCCAAGTGTTGCCATATCTTGTAATCTAACGGATTCAAATCTGGACTGGAGGAGGGCCAGTCTTAGTGCCGGATGAAGTCGATTTCACGCGCCGCCAGCCAGTCTTGTATGCTCTTCGCTCTATGAGCTGGCGCCGAATCTTGTTGGAATACCCAGTGCCTGTTATTGAACATGATATGAGAAACAGTTTCCACAAGGTTCGTCAGGACTGTATTTTGATACACAACTGCATTCGTTTTTACACCTTTCTCACAAAAATGTACCTCTGTTAAGCCCCAATAAAAAACTCCCAACCATACCATGAGCGAGGATGAAAAATGACCTCGTTGGACACGCGGAATACGGTTGCTCGCTTCTTCACTACTGTGTGCGTACACCTTATCATTTTGTTTGTTGTAGCTCTCTTCTACGGTAAAAATTTTTTCATCCGAAAAAAGAATTTCCCGATATTTTTTTCCCGCGTACCGCTTCAACAAAGCGCGGCATCTCTTCA